TAAACCCTGAACGCGTCGCGCCCTAACTTTGGGCGCGACGCTTGCCGAGGGAGTATATGACTACTTCCGAGCTTGGCTACGCTTTATACAGGTAACCTTTGGCTTGGAGAACGGCTGTTGAGCTGGACCTTGCACCCTCGACCTTGGACCTTGGACCTTGGATTGCACCTTGGACCTTGCACCTTGGATCTTGGAGCTTGGATCTTGGACCTTGGGCCTTGGACCTTGGAGCTTGGACCTTGGACCTTGGAGCTGGGGCCTTGGGCCGGACCTTGGGCCTTGCGCCTTGGGTTTTGGGCCTTTGCGCCTTGGGCCTCGGGTCTTGGACCTTAGACCTTGGAACTTGGACCTTGGACCTTGGACCTTGGACCTTTGCAAGGACTGGCTCTGACCCGGACCTGAACCTGGGTTTGGATATTTATTTGTTTTCATCCTCAGACTAGGGTTTGGGGTAGCTCTATATAGACTGACTCTATATATTACTAGGTGCTCTGAGCAAGGTTAAAACACGAGTTGCTCCGGGCCCAGGTCCACAGGTACAGGCCCGAGCACAGGTACCAAAAACCAAACCCTGATTCCAGGTAGGCCCAGGTTCAGGTCCAGGTCCAGGTCCAACAGGACAGGTGCAAGTACAAGTCCCAAAATTCAAACGCAGGCCGAGTCAGGATTAGGATTTACTTTGCTAGCCTAGGTTCTCTAGGTTCAGGTCGTCCCAGGCCAGGCCCAGGTCCGGTCCCTGGGGAAGCTGGCTTGAGAGATGGAGTGCTTAGATTTGATTTCTTTTTGATCTTTAGCACCTAAAAGCTTTAGAGCTGGGCGGCCCGGGGTGGGGTTGACACGACCGTGCTGCGTGCGTGTTGCTAGCATCCATCACCAACACACACGCAGCCAACGAATGCTACACCCTGAACCCTAAACCCTAAACCCTAAACCCTAAACCCTAAACCCTAAACCCTAAACCGTTGAGAGTTGTGCATGTGGGGCCTAGGGTTCAGAACTTCGAGTTCAGGAGAAGCTCTACTGCGTCGCATGCTGCGGGCTCTCAAAGGCCGGAGGGACTGCAAGCTCCTGGTTTTAGGGTTTAGGGTTTTTTAGGGTTGATTGTCAGGGTTTCGGGTTCAGGGTAGTTCATCTTCATGGAGCTTACAAGCTAAGTACCGCAGACGGCTCAGAGATGTTTAGGGAAACTTTGGCTCCAGCTTGCTGCTTCTGTTTTGTTTTTGCAAGTTTCCCTAAACCCTAAACCCTAAACCCGAACGCGTTTTGTCCGTAAATCCAAGCCCTAAACCCAAATGGCGAAGAAAGACATCCAGGACCGATGCAAAGAAGAGTAGAACGCCCAGAGCCTACAACCTTGAACCCTAAACCCAAAGGGGCACCCTTCTTGTTCCTAGGTTACTCTGATGTTTAACAGCCCTAACCTTCACCATCAACCCTAAACCCTGAACCCTGAACCTTGAGCTCGGATCCCTTGATTTGCATTTCGGGGTTTAGGGATTAGGGGTTTGGGGTTAGGGTTTAGGGTTTAGGCTTAGGGCTTACGCTTGAGTGTTCGAAAACCCCACGAGAGGACCAGATGGAGACGTTTTTCACCATCGACATACTTCGGTTCGGCGGGGGTGGGGGGGGGGGGGGTGTTGTAGACGACAGGCTCATCTAATTTAGGAAATGCCCCAAACCCGAAACCCTAAACCGTACACCCTAGCAAGCCTCGGAAGGAAGAGTGGCAGCAAAAGCGGCGGGAGGTATATGCCCTGAAGATGTCAGGCAAAAGGGGCGACGGCCTCTCCGCTGCAGTTTTCAATGGGTCTTTACCTTGAACCCTTGAGGTTGTCCCCCTTGGGTTTGGGGACGTTTTTAAAGAATTCCTCGAAGGGAATATCAGGGCCATATAAAAAGGATCTTAAGGGAACCTCTTAGGGGTACATCCTCAGTGGTCCAAGTTTGGCTCCCTTGAAGTGTGTTTGCATGTCTGTCGTCCTCCAGCAGTTGTGAAAATTCCGGTCTAGGATGCACGGTGGTGCACTTCGTTTCCTCTAAACCTTAAACCCTAAAAACTAAACCCTAAACCCTAACCCTTCAGGGGTTAGCTTCCCCGAACCCTCTCAGCCTAAACCCCATTTAAGCCGATACATACTAACCCAATTGCAATTGCAACCAACCCCAAAAAGGGGTGCCCTGATCATGATATGGTTGCTGGGCCACCAAGAAGCACAGTGTATTCTGGGTGATAAGCACGATGAATCTGCCAAGTAGAGGTGCGGAGAGCCCCGTGATGCCATCCAAGTCCGTGCCCTGCGGCATTGGTGGCCCTGACGCGCATTTGGGAGGGTTTAGGGTTTAGGGCTTAGGGCTTAGGGCTTGGGGCTTGGGGCTTGGGGCTTGGGGCTTGGGGCTTGGGGCTGGGGCTTGGGGCTTGGGGCTTGGGGCTTGGGGCTTGGGGCTTGGGGCTTGGGGCTTGGGGCTTGGGGCTTGGGGCTTGGGGCTTGGGGCTTGGGGCTTGGGCTTTGGGCTTTGGGTTTGGGGTTTGGGGTGGGAAGTGGATGTCAGAGTGCGGAGAAGCGGGAGAGGAGTGTTTGGGTGAGGGAGGTGTTAGGTTTTGGGGCCTTCCCCCAACACTCCACCGGGCAAACGCATCCGAAACCCTGAACCCAAATTTTAGCCCTAAACCCTTAACCCCCTAAACCCTCAACCCCAAACCTCAGGCTTCGCCTGCAACAGCGCTGTCCGGCAGTCCAGCGGTGGCCACCTCGGGATTCCCTCCTGGACCTGGGGCACGTAATGCAGGGGTTTGGGGTTTGGGGTTTGGGGTCTAGGGTTTAGGGTTTAGGGTCCGGGAGTAAGTACAAATTGTATTCCCTTATGGTCCCTATATACTTATGCGCTCAGAGCGTTGAATTAGCCTAGGAGGCGTGTAAATGCGTATAAGCCCAGTAGGTGCTTTGTGAGTTGCATCGTCTTTTTCGCAGTCTGCATCGAAGACGTTAGACGCACATGGGGCGTAACCAGCCTCAGCATAAACAAAGGGACAGCAACAGTCTTGTCTTGACCGCACAACACACACACACACACATCACTCGCTCTGAGCCCTACATTACTTTTTGCAGGCTGGGTCGGTAACAAACCCCTAAAATCTTAAACGCCCCTTTTTGAAGCGTGCCTCCATAGGGGAGTTCCTCTGCCGCTTCGACGCCGACGACGTGATGCACCCGGAACGACCCCGGGACGAATTCAGGTTTAGGTTTTAACTAGGGTTCAGGGTTTAGGGTTTAGGGTGTAGGTTTTTACGGTTTCGGGATTCGGGGGTTTTTGGATTCAGGGGTTTAGGGGTTTAGGGTATTTTGGGAATTAGGGGGTTCAGTGGTTTAGGGGATTTGGGGATTTGCGGTTTGGGGTTCAGGGGTTTAGGGGTTTTACGGCTTTAGGGTTTAGGGGTTTAGGGGTTTAAGGGTTTAGGGGTTTAGGGGTTTAGGCGGTTTAGGGGGTTTAGGGGTTTAGGGGTTTCGGGGTTTCGGGGTTTACGGGTTTAGGGGTTTAGGGGTTCAGGGGTTTAGGGTTCGGGGCAAAGAGATTAACGGGATTTAAGGCTTACAGTCTTAGTTCCCCACCCTCGGTGTGGGGTTGTTTGATTTTAAACTCAACAGGAACTCTTTCGCCCGGTCTACTCCTCCCTCAGCCCTGGAGTGCCCAACCTTAGAGTGTCCCTTGAGGGCCCAACCCGGAGTGTCCTGGAGTGCCCAATGCCGAGTGTCCCCAAAATGCCCAGCCAGAGCGTCCTGGAGTGCAGTGTCCCTGGAGTGCCCAAAATCAGAGTGTCCCTGTGGAGTGCCCGGCCCCAGAGTGTCCCTGGAGTGCCCAACCCCAGACCCAGAGAGAGTGGGGATGTTCGAAGGAAAATATGTTTTCTCAATTTAATGTTTAGTGTTTAGCAGTTTTCCCACAGAGGTTGGTTTTTTGGGTTTAGGGTATAGATTCTCGATTCTTGATTTGAGGGGCTTAGGTTTTTTCGCTTTTCAGATTTGGAGTTTAGGCTCTTGGGTGTTCGGGGCTCGGGGGTTCACGGGGGTTAAGGGTTGTGCCGGGGGGGGTGCGAGGGGTTAAGAGGGTTGAGATCTAGGGTCCAGGGACAACAGGTTTTAGGGTGGAAAAACACTAGTCCTTAACCTGCAGAAACGAACGCTGAAGCTGTAGGTAAATCGAGTCTCAGCTTGCCCTCACCCCTAAACCCTGAACCCTAAACTCTAAGCCCTAAACCCTAAACCCTAAATCCTAAATCCTAAACCCTAAACCCTAAACCCTACACCCTACACCCTAAACCCTAAACCTTTAAACCCTTCCTACCTCTTTAACTCCCGCCTTCCGAAACTGGCACCCCAAACCTCTTTTATCCACCGCAGCTGCTCCATGTCCAGTCCCTGGACCGTGAGAGGACCATGTTAGTGACCATGAGGGTTCAGGGTTCAGGGTTCAGGGTTCAGGGTTCAGGGTACAGGGTTCAGGGTTTAGGGTTTAGGGTTTAGGGTTTAGGTTAGCAGAACACTGAGAACTTGGGATGTTCCCCCGTATACTTAAACAGTCCTCAAGGGAGATTTTTTTGTACCCACGATTCTAGTGTGAGTAAAGGGGAAACACCGCAACTCTGAACACGTGCAGGTTTCCGACAGTTTGAGTACCCGGGTTTAGGGTTTAGGGTTTAGGGTTTAGGGTTTAGGGTTTAAGGGCCTCCTATAAAAAGGATCTGATCATTTGTATTTTGGGTGTATAAGGGGCACCCTCTAGTTTTCGAGAAGCCCGCATGCTTCAATGCCACCAGCAGCAAACCCCTTCACATGACGTGACTATAACCCTTCCAACCAAAAGTCGTCGTGCAACTTTCTACAACTCACGGGTTTCCCTACTGCCCCCCGTATACTACCCCCCGCCCCCCAGGTTCCCCCCTTGAATAACCTGAAGTAGGCTTAATTATCCCCAAAACAGCCTGAATTATGGGGGGAACTATGATGGCTGCGTCGAAACGGAGGAGGCCTTTGAACAAGCCGAGCGCCGTCGTGCAACTTGCCTCAGCCGCACTTGCACTGAGCTTCGCGAGCGCGTTCGCAGGTGGCTTCCACAGCAGCAGGGACATGCGACCCCGCGTAACTTCTGCGGCGCACCTGACGGAGAAGGAGCCAGCAGGCTCAGATCTGGAAAGCCCAGAAGAGGTCGGAGGGGTGTACGAAATTTCGGGGGGCCCCCCAAATAGAGATCCCCAAACATAGGATGCCCTTTTTTTTGGTAAGGACCCCAATACGGTATGCCTAAACTTCGGAAAATCCCCCAGGTTGTCGTGGAGAACAGCTCCCAGGCTATTCGGCTCCTTCGCTCCCCCGGGCTCCGGAAGCTCCAAGCAACCTTGGAGAAGCTGCAGGCAGCAGACGTGGGTTGGTGGTCTCTTTATTGTAGGGTTTGGGGTTTAGGGTTCAGGGTTTAGGGTTTAGGGTTTAGGGTTTAGGTTTAAGGGTTTAAGGGTAACAGATAAAGAGGCCACCGGCCTTTATAATGCAGGCAGCAGAAGTGGGAGATGAAACCGCATTCCAGGCCATGCTGAAGCTGGGGCTATTTTTAGGGTTTAGGGTTTAGGGTTTAGGGTTTAGGGTTTACGGTTTAGGGTATTTTCCTTCTTTCCTTCGAAGGGAACCTATTCATAGATGTTTCTCAAAGGGTGTAAAGCACAACTCAGGAAGAATATCCCAAGGGTGGTCAGCAACATCTCTGAACAGGAGACTTGGGTAACCCAGCGGGCACCCTTTTTTGCCCTTTTTTGGTGCTTCTGGGTTCCCTAGAAATGGATCCACAACCCAAGGTATGATATGGGGGTTTTCCGAAATAAGGGGGTACCTTATTGGGTCCTTTATTGCTTACTATCAGAGAATCCTACTTTTTGGTGTTTATATTCGGGGTCCCTTAATTTTCGTCACCCTAAACCCTAAACCCTAAACCCTAAACCCTAAAACCCTAAACCCGTATGGCCACGGGGCTACCAAGGAGATGCCGACAGATCTGGAAGCAGACTTTGAAGAGGCGCTCGAGAGAAGCGCGGAGCTCCTCTCACCAGAGCCTCTTGGTAGCTTAGGGGCTGGCTAGTGAACCTTAGGGTTTAGGGTTTAGGGGTTAGGGTTTAGGGTTTAGGGTTTAGGGTTTAGGGTTTAGGGTTTAGGGTTTAGGGTTTAGGGTTCAGGGTTCAGGGTTCAGGGTTTAGGGTTTAGGGTTTAGGGTATAACCCTACTACAAGCAAAGGCTAGCCGGTTTCAAGCCAGGGTATTCAGCCCCTAAGGTAGCCCAGTGGCCACCCTTTTTGCCTTTTTGGGGGTGGTTCTGGGTTCCCCCCTTGTAGAAGAAGCCAAACCCAAGAAGGGTACCTAAACCCTAAACCATAAACCCCAGGCCCCAAGCCCTAAACCCTGAGCCCTGAGCCCTAGACCCGAAACCCCAAGCCCCAAACCCTAAACACCCTAAACACCCTAAACACCCTAAACACCCTAAACACCCTAAACACCCTACACACCCTACACACCCTAAACACCCTAAGCACCCTGAGCCCTGAGCCCTAAGCCCTAAGCTCTAGAACCCTACATTCTCGCAGCATGTGTCACCGGCTGCCTTCTCAGGATGGAGGGCGAGAACCTTGGGCCGATCATACGCCAGCTGCTGCAGCTGCCTCTTCTGCAGCGTCTTCCAGAGACTGGGTTGAGGGTTTAGGGTTTAGGGTTTAGGGTTTAGGGTTTAGGGTTTAGGGTTTAGGGTTTAGGGTTTAGGGTTTAGGGTTTAGAGTTCAGGAAGCAGGGTGCAGGGATCAGGGTTCAGGGTTTATAAGGGTGTAGGGTTATGGCATTTTCCTCAAACTCTCAATCCGAAGCCCAAAACCCGCATCATTGGCTGTTTAAGAGGAGCTTCGATTTGGGAACTATTTTTTCAACGAAATTTTGCAAGGCCGCAAGCTAGGAGACTAGGGATCCAGAGCCGGCCCTCATTCCCGTCTGTTGTTTGTCTTTGCTTTCTTCTTTTTGGTGGCTGGGCGGGGGGTGGGTAGGTACCACCCCTTGAACTCAACAGGGGTACCCCTCTTGTTCCCAGGTTATTCTAAGGTTTAAAAACCTAAACCCTAAACAATAAGCCCTAAACCCTACACCCCAGACCCTGGACCCTAAGCCCTAAACCCTAAGCCCTAAACCCCAAACCTAAGCCCTAAACCCTAAACCCTAAACCCTGAACCCTAAACCCTAAACCCTAAACCCTAAACCCTAAACCCTAAACCCTAAACCCTAAACCCTAAACCCTAAACCCTAAACCCTAAACCCTAACCCAGGAGATGATTCGGCGCTTGGGGCGCATCGAGCTCCTCTACCCGAAAGCTCTGGAGAATCAGACGGAGGTGTCGCAGGATGAGCTCAGGGAAGCCTTGGCAGTTTCTTGGGTTTAGGGTTTAGGGTTTCGGGTTTAGGGTTTCGGGTTTAGGGTTTAGGTTGGTTTAGGGTTAGGGTTTAGGGTGTTTCTTCTTCTTCTTGGTAAGGAGAATAAGGCTTCATTAACCCTTGTTTGAAAATTCCCGCGGCTGTTGGGAGAAGCGAGGCTCTGGCGCAGGAACTGAATCGAGCTGACCTTGCGCGATGGTCAGATGAGGACTTCACCGAAGCCCAGAACTTGATCCAAAGAAATCCTGCTTCTTCCTGGTAGTTCAGAGTTCAGGGTTGAGGGCTTTGGGGTTTTGGGTTCAGGGTTTACTAGCCTAGCCAGTTCAGAGTTTAGGGTTTAGGGTTACAAACTCAGGCAATAATTGAACTTTCAACTTTTGCGGTTTCCTTACTTAGTAGGGATCAAAAAATTTGCCCTATACCCTAAACCCTAAACCCTAAAACCCAAAAAATCAAGAAATGCAAGGTTCTGGGACCACTGGGGGAGTCCCTTGCGGATACGGCTGACGACGCGCTGGCCGAGTTCTACGCCACCACGGCCGGGGCGGCTGCATCCCTGATCTTTGCTCAGCTGGCCTTGGTTGTGGCTTACTTTCCCAACAGTTTGCACTTTGCACTCTAAAGTCTCGGGGTTCAGGGTTTAGGGCTTTTCTTGCAGGCAAAGGCTTGAAGCTTCTTCCTTGGCTATTGGAGAAGTCAGGTGGTGGCCTTTGCTGTCTGCGCCTCGTGCTTTGGGGACGGAAGCAGCGACACCCCAGTCCCAACTGATACGACGGCGCTGCCGCTCTACACGCTGGGCGGTACCGTCGGCGGAAGATGATGGCCATCGATGGCACGTCTCCAAATACTCAATGTACCCAATCTTCCTAGGTATGCCCTCCGGAGACTTGATATTTTCCCTGATTGGGTTTTTGAGGTTCCTAGTTAGGAAAAGTGGTTCAGAGGGTTGTAAGGGCCAACCTGTGTGAAGTGCGCATGAGATTTCGCTTCCTCCCTGCGCAAGTGAGCTGCTGCGAAGAAGCTAGGAGCCCAGACTCCCAACCCCAAACCCCAAACATCCTAAACCCCAAACCCTTGACACAAAAATCCCGAACCCCAAATCCTGAACCCCAAAAATCCCAAGCCCCAAAACCTAAACCCTAAAACCCCCTAAAATCCACAGCCTCAAGCCCTAAATCCCTAAACCCCAAACCCGAAATTCTGAAGGAGTTTGCATCAAGGGAGTCATTCTCGGACCCCTAAGGAAGACAAACCCAAGGGTGCAACCTCCGGGTCCAAGTTAGAGTCCCACCCCAAACCCCTAAACCCCAAACCCTCAACCCCAAACCTTAAACCCTGAACCCTAATACCTAAGCCCTACACCTTAGGGGACTATCTGGATGATGAAAGGTCGTCCCCCCTAAACCCTAAACCCCCCACCCCTCCCCCCCCCCCCCCCCCCCCCCCCCCAGGAATCCGGCTGCAGATGCAGGCGCTTCATGCCCTGCCGCGAGATGAGCAGGTGCCGGGATGCCAGAATATGCCCTGAAGCTAGGGTTTAGGGTTTAGGGTTTAGGGTTTAGGGTTTAGGGTTTAGGGTCTGGGATTTAGGGTTTAGGGTTTAGGGTTTAGGGTTTAGGGTTTAGGGTTTAGGGTTTAGGGTCTGGGGTTTAGGGTTTAGGGTTTAGGGTTTAGGGTTTAGGGTTTAGGGTTTAGGCTAGAGGGCTTTTAGGACTGAGGATTTTGGGGTGCTCGGGATGCAGGTCCTTGCGCGCCCAAGGTCCTACCCCTTCGGTTGGGTTCCTTTGAGGAAGTGGGCGGAGGGGGGGGATTCTCAAGAAGCCTAAATGATAAAACAAGGGGGACAAGGGGGCCCAGCGTTCAGGTTTAGGGTTACAGCTTAACACCCTGAGCCCCGAAACCTTTGGGGACTGCAAGGGTGCATCGCTAATCCCTAAACCTTGAACCCCCAACACCCTAACACCCTTATACCCAAATACCCCAACACCCTAACACCCGAATACCCAATACACTAATACCCTAATATCCTAATACCCTAACACCCTAATACCCCAAAACCCTCATCCCCGAACACCCGCATACCCGAATACCCTAATGCCCACAATACCCTAACACCCGAATACCCAAATACCCTCAACCCTCATACCCTAATACCCTAATACCCAAAACCCCCCTTACTTGAGGACCGGACATTGGTGGGAACGGGCTTCGTCCGCCTGCCTGAGGCGCCTCAGACAGCGGTCGCTTTAGGGCTTAGGATTCAGGGTTTAATGTTTGGGTTTTTCTCGGGTTTGGGGTTTAGGGTTTAGGGTTTGGGGTTTGGGGTTTAGGGAAGATCGCTTTTTGGGCAGTGTAACTAGTCTTACCATCCTTGTTTGTCATGACTGCTGCTCTTTTGTTGCCGTTGTTGCTAATGCTTATTATGGCTTATGGCTGCTGCTAAGTTCTTGTGGCTAGTCTTGTTACAGGCCACTGTGTAGGAGAACCTTTGAGCAGTCACTGTGTCTTGTTGACATGCGTAGTGCTACTACTGCTGCAGCTCCGGTTATTGTCAGTGTGTAGCTCTGCTTTCAAGTAGCACGAGGGACATTGCAGATGCTGAAAGGAAGATGGAGCCAACGAAACCCCCCAAACCCGGAACCTTGAACCTAGGCCTCCCAGCTTACTTCCGATCTGCCCTGTTTCTTGTGGGAGGAGGGTGGGGGTTTAGTGGCTTGGGGTTTAGGATTTAGGGTTTAGGTTTCAGGGATCGCGATGCAACCCTCACAAGCACACAAAGCCTCCCCGGAAACCCTAAGCCTGCCCCTCCCTCAACCCTCAAAACCTCAACCCCAAAACCCGAAAAATCTCAGCAGAAGGCACAGAAAAAAAGACCCTGAACATTCATTCTCTCAACCCCTGAACCCCCCCCCCCTCAAAACCCTTAACGCTGAACCCCCTTTTAAAACCCTCAACCCTAAACCCTACAGCCCGGAAAATCATGAAAGGACGCCACGCCCCGGTACACCCAGTGGCTCAATGGGATGACCGATGACCAGCTGACATCGCAGCGCAGCCTGGCTTGGGGGTTTAGGGTTTAGGGCTTAGGGCTTAGGGCGTAGGGCTTAGGGTTTGGGGTTTGTCTGGGGGGGGGGGGGGGAGGGAGTCTTTGGGGTTTAGGCGCTGATGGCAAAAAATGATCGTGGAATGTCACCCATCGTCCATTTGCATGCTCCTGGCCTAAACGCTAGGCCCGTAAACCCCTAGACTTGAGATGTTCCCCCTTATACTAACAGTCCTTAACGGGGAATATACTAGTGGGGGTTCTATAATCCCTATCATGGACTGTAAGTATAAGAGGGAACATGTCAAGGTTAGGGCTTAGTAGATTAGGGCAATTTGGGCTTAGGTTTAGGGCTTGACCGAATTTAAACAGACGCTTGATGGTCGGTATCAGTACGTTACAGGTGACCAAACATTTAGAGTAGCCCCAAATTGAGCCCTTCTTAGCCCGACTTATAACTTGTAATTGCCCCGAAATTTTATAGGGTTCTGCAGTCAACCTAAGTTACTAAACCCAAAACCCTCAACCCAAAACCCTAAGCTAAGCCCGACCCATAAAAGAAAAACAGCAACACATGCATCTACATATGTGTTTACATCTTGTATGTGTATATATATGTACATACACATGTTCATTTATTGTTGATCTTTTCCATTGAATTTTGTGTGAGCTGATTTCTATGTAGAAATGCCCGAAACTTGCCCCTTACGCGAGGCTTCAGGGAGGTGACCCTGCTGCACCCGACCTGGATGTACCATCGCCGGATTTGGGAGCCCCCCTTTGGGGGGGTTTTGGGGGTTTAGGGTAGCTTAAACCCTAAACCCTAAACCCTAAACCCTTTAGGAGAAGAAGGGGGGGGGGGGGGGGGTTATCGGGTCTTTAAAGCCCACACTGAGACCCTGTGAGCCCTGAAATAAAAATTGGTTTCGGGTCTGGGAGCTTGTGCGAGCTGCGGGTTTATAGGGGTTGGGTTTATAGGGGTTGTGTGGTTTTGTTTGGGGGTTTGGTGGTTTGGGGGTGAGCCTAGGAGGTTTGACGGTTTGGGGAGGGAGCTTTGGGACTGCAAAGGGAGGTATGGTCGCTTTTTTGGGCCCCTGTCGATGGTTTCCGAAATCTGCTGTGCATTTGCGAAGACCCCCCTTGGCCGACATTGGCGGGCAGGTTGCTTGTAGGTTAGGGTTGGGCTGAGGGTCCTGTAGGCTTTGGGGTCTTGGGTTTGAACCCTAAACCCTAAACCGTAAACCCTAAACCCTAAACCCATAAACCCTATGTGGGCGGTTTCGGTTTTGGGGCTCAATGTCAAAATAGGGTTTCGGAGTGCAGGGTGGCTTTGCAACCCCTAAACCCACAGAGCACATTGGAGGAGCGCGTTGGTGGCTACACGCAAGACACCTCGGTGGGCGAGGCAGAGAAAGAAGTTTTTCTAGGCTTTGAAGGATGTAGGCTTGGGGTTACGGTTCTTGAAATATGCTTTCATCTTCAGGGAAGTTAACAAGTGAGCACACCTGAAGATCATATTCGTTTTGGAAGATTTAGGGTGCGGGTTTAGGAAGTTTAGGGTGTTAAAACTGTCTAGCGGGGTTCAGTAAGTAAGTCCGCTGTCTTCATCAGGACAAACCCCACTCGGGGGTGGCTTTAGCCCTAAACCCTAAACCCCTACACCCCAAAACCCTTAAGCCTGAACCTTACTGTGCAAAAAGCACTTTGGGGAGTTGTTCGGGATTCCAGGAGCTATGGTGTGGGGAAGAGCTTTGAAAACTATGCAGTAACTATGCCTACAGTTAGGGCTCTGGGTTTAGGGTTTATGGCTTGAAGGTTTGGGGCTTGCGACCTGTACTTGGACGTTGAGGGTACTTACTGAGGTAGTCAAAACTGTACTTTGAGCTAACCATATCAGGGCACTTTAGGAGCTTATAAGTGGGTTAGAAGTACAGCTATATTTGGGTTATAAGTACCATGAACCTCCAAGTAAGTCCTTTAACTGCCTTGAGCAGGACATCGTGTTTTTCCACAAGCATTTGGAAGCCAACGGCTTGCTCCTGAGGCTGGCTTGGGTAGGGGGTTTAGGGTGTTTAGAGTGTTTAGGGTGTTTAGGGTGTTTAGGGTGTTTAGGGTGTTTAGGGTGTTTAGGGGGTTTAGGGGGTTTAGGGGGTTTAGGGGGTTTAGGGCTTTGGGCTTAGGGCTTAGGTTTTGGTGGGGTTTAAGGACTTGGGGGTTTGGGAGCTTGGGTATATAGTGTTGGGTATGGACTCAGGGGTTTTCAAGCAGTTTGGGGTTAGTGTTTGTTCTTGCTTGTTCCCGGGGTTGAGGGGTTTAGGGTTTAGGGTTTAGGGGTTTGGGGTTTAGGGTTTAGGGTTTAGGGTTTAGGGTTTAGGGTTTAGGGTTTAGGGTTTAGGGTTTAGGGTTTAGGTTTAGGGGTTGAGGGTTTAGGGCTCGTGTTTAAGTTTTTGGAGTTTAGGGTTTCTAGGATCCGGGGATGTCTTTTTGGAGCTTCAGGCGCTCAGGGGCGCGGGGTTTTGAGGGCTTTCAAAGACAGGGATCTCCGGTTTCGACTGTTTCCGCCCCGAAAAGGTCTTAGCCTGACTTCAACCCAGCCAATGGGGGCTACCTGACAACGCACGAAACTTGTAGGTTTTGGGGTTTTAGGGTTTTAGGGTTTGAAGATTTAGGGTTTTAGGGTTTTAGGGTTTTAGGGTTTTAGGTTTTAGGGTTTTTAGGGTTTTAGGGTTTTAGGGTTTTAGGGTTTTAGGGTTTTAGGGTTTTAGGGTTTAAGGGGTTTAGGGGTTAGGGTTCAGGGTTTAGGGTTCAGGGTTTAGGGTTGAGGGCTTACGGTTTCAGACCGTCCTAGGTCACCCCCAGCATTGTTTCCATTAATTCGAAGAAAGGTCGTCTGTCTCTCCCGACTAGAACAAGCTGCAGAAAATGCTCACAACCGACAACGCCCCAAGCCCCAAAGCCTAAAACCCCAACTATAAACCCAAAACCCTAAGCCCTAAACCCTACGCCCCAAAACCCTAGACCCCACACCCCAATCCCTAAACCACAAACCCCAAATCCCTAAACCCCCAGCCCAAAGAGTGGAATTGCGAGCGCGGTTAAAGGTAACCCTAAACCCTAAACCCGAACCCCCTCCCCCCCCACCTCACCCCCCCCCCCCCATTGGGGCTCCCTTGAGGGTGCCGCGGCCACTGCTGCGGTACCGCTGCCACCCTGGTACGCTGGCCTATGTTTAAAGCCCTAAACCTAAACCCTAAACCCTACACCCTAAACCTTAAACCCTAAACCCGAAACCCTAAACCCTAAACCCTAAGAACCCTGAACCATAGGATTTTTTAAAGGATATAGAGTTGAAGGCTTAGTGTCCACTCCTGCCGTTAACCTGAGAGACCTCCTCAACCGAAGAAGGGGTATTCTTGACCCCACAATACTCTTGTTCCTACTCGTTTAGGGTTTAGGGTTTAGGGTTTTGGGTCCAGGGTTTAGGGTATAGGGTACGGACCTTGAACCCTAAACAGGGCTTAGGGTTTAGTGTTTTTGGGGGAGTATGCTTGGGCAACTAGGCCGCCCCGAAATACCCCTCTTTGCTAGGGCCGTAAAGTCCTGTAAGCCCTAAGGCCTGAACCAAGAATGCCTGCACACTAACCCCTAAACGCGAAACCCTAACACTTACTAAACCCTCTACTCATCCTACTAAACCAACTAGCTCCTAAACCGGCTAAACCCTGAAGCCAATAAACCCTAAAATTACACCGACTAAATCTTACACCCTCTTTATTCTTGGAGGCCCGGTGGTGCCCGTTGGTTCGGGATTCCCTGATAACTTTTAAAGTAACCAGCCCCCGAAAAAGGGTGCCCTTATCATCATATGGCTACAGGGCTACCAAGTGTTCCTAAACCCTAAAAACCCAAAAACCCTAAACCCTGAACCCTAAACCCTAAACCCTAAACCCTAAACCCGGGGGTCTTGAAGTCCAAGGCCAGCGATCCTGGCGACTCCCGCGGCGAGCGGTGCAGGACGCCAAGGCTCAGAATTCCCGAACCCTTTTGTTTACGGTTTAGGGTTTAAGGTTTAGGGTTTAGGGTTTAGGTTTCTGGGTTTAGGGTTTAGCAGGTGTAGCAGGTCTAGAAGATTTGGGAGGTGTAGCAGATGTAGTAGGCTTAGGGTTTAGTAGGTATATGGTTCAGTTCGGGGGCTGTGAGGAAAGACCTCGGATCTCGGCTCGCGGGAAGGGGTTTGTTTGAAAGCCTGGCCTCTTCGCGAAGAGATCCTAAGCCGTAAACCCCAAATCCGGGCGCGCTGTCGTTGCAGAAGACGTCCTAAACCTAAATCCCTAAACCCTAACCCTGCTTGTCTTGAGCGTTTGGGGTTTAAGATTTGAGGGCTCTTAAACCCAAAGCCCAAACAACCCCATGAACCCTGAAAAACCTCTTTAGCCCCAAAACGCCTGAAGCCTTCAATTCACCCCTTAAGCCCCAAAGCGCCCCTGAAGCTGCTAAACCTTAAACCGAACCCCAAACCCTCAACCCAAAACCCTAAACCCCAAGCCCTAAGGTTTAGGGTTTAGGGTCTAGGGTCTAGGGTTTAGGGTTTCGGGTTTAGGGTTTAGGGTGCCCTAAACCCAACCCCTAAATCCGAAACCCCCCAAGCAGGTGGCCGCCTTCGAACGCCAGGTTCTCGTCTCGGAGCCCTGGAGCCAAGGTGCCCAAATGCCCGCGCTGTCGGTTGCAGCGTTTGTGTCCTAGAAGGTTTTAGGGTTTAGGGCTACCCCAAACCCTAAAACTCAAAGCCCAGAGAGCTTGAACCGCGAAATTCTAAACCTCAATCGCGATTGCCTTTTATTGATTTTTCTTTGGCAGTTTGCGGCAGGTTTCGGCGTGGTCGGCGCCGGCCGAGACGCCCGCGATTTCTGCAAGGCCTAAGGGGGATTTAGAGTTTTGGGTCTTAAGGGTTTGAGATTTTAGGTATTGGGTTTTAGGGTGTAGGGTTGTAGGGTTTAGAGTTATAGGGTTTTGGGTTTTCGGGTTTAGGTTTTGGGGTTTAGGGTTTAGGGGTTTGTCTTTGGGGTTTGTGTGCATACAGGAGTTCTGGGTTCAGGGGGTTAGGGTTGATTAGGGAGTTAGGGCTTGGGGTTTGGGGGGTCTTGGACTTCAAGGGTTGTTGCTTGGGGGGTTTGGGATTTAGGGTTTAGCGTTGAGGGTTTAGGGTTTAGTCGGATGAGAGGGTGTTTTTGGTTTGGGGTTTAGTCGGCTGAGATAGTGTTTAGGGTCTAGTGGGGCTGTTTCGCCGTGCTTCAGGGGGGGAAACCCTAAACCCTAAACCCTAAACCCTAAGTGGGGGCACAAGCTCCGATGTTCTGGATGAAAGCTTCGGTCAAGCGTCATTGCGAAACGTCAAAGATTGCAACCCTATAGGGTTTAGGGTTTAGGGTCTAGGGCTTAGGGCTTAGGGCTTAGGGCTTAGGGCTTAGGGCTTAGGGCTTAGGGCTTAGGGCTTAGGGCTTGGGGCTTAGGATTGGAACCCCATAGGTTTTTCGGCTTTCCATGTGCCGTTTGAGATTCTCAGGGTTCTAATAAGGGTTAAGGGCAGTTTAGGAGTTCCAGGGTCAGGGTTTAGGGTTTAGGCTTTAGCCTTTAGGCTTTAGGGTTTAGGGTTCCTTCAAACGGGTGATCTCTTGCAGCTCTCGCGAACCTCCCTCAAGAATCAGAACCATTCACAGGCCCTGTCGGATGCCGCACGGCAGCTCGTCACGGAGTTCTACGAGGCAGGGTTGGGGTTCTCGACCTTCCAACCCACCCCACGAAAATGTCCTTCACAGACTTCGCCCTAAACCCTAAACCCCAAACCCTAAACCCTAAACCCTAGGATCTTGGGTGAGGTGGACGAGAAGAAGCTCGGGAAGACGATCTCGCTTCCCACAGCGCCGCAGATTCGAAAGCGGGGTCCAAAAAATCAGGATTCAGCCTTGCCATTCTGGTTCAGGGTTTAGGGATTCAGGGTTTGGTACGGTTCAGGGTTTAGGGTTCAGGGTTCAGGGTTTAGGGTTGAGGGTTTAGGGCTTAAGCCCTAAAGCCCCTAAAGCCCCTCAAGCCCTGAGCCCCTCAAGCCCCTTTAAGCCCCGCGCCTCTCCGGCTCCTCGGAAAACATCACCTGAGGCGAACGCCTCCATGCGCCAGGTGACTTGCTTGCGTTAGGCTCAGGCTCAGTCTCAGGCTTAGGCTTAGGCTTAGGGTTAGGGTTAGGGTTATCCTAAACCCTAAACCCTAAATCCTAAACCTGAAGTCCCAAAAACAGCAAAAAGCAAAAGGCAAAGCAACATGCCGGTAGCTTTCAAAGTTAGGGGCTTCCTTGTTGGGTCCTCTGTACAGTACCGGCACCCTGAAAGTCAGGACAGAAGTACCCAGAACTAGAATGGGGTGGGGGACTTTTTTCGACACGCTCGTCAGGATGAGGTTGCACCTAAAACCCCCCGAGGTATGAAAGACAATGGTCGTTCTGTGGGTTTGGGACCTTTCTTTTACATACTTTGGGGGGTCCAGGTAGGCTCCCCCAAACCCCTAAACCCTAAGCCCCTAAGCCCCTAAGCCCCTAAACCCCTAAACCCCTAAACCCCTGAACCCCTAAAACCCTAAACCCCTAAACCCCTAAACCCCTAAACCCCTAAACCCCTAAACCCCTAAACCCCTAAACCCCTAAACCCCTAAACCCCTAAACCCCTAAGCCCTAAACAAAACCTTCCCTGAGGTTGAGGGATCAGGGCTCTGGATCCGTCAGGAGGATTCCGAAAGCTCGTTTCCGGTCCTTGCTCGGCCTTGGAGCAGGAAGCGAGTTTTAGGGGTTCAGGTTTTAGGGTTTAGGGTTTAGGGTCTAGGGTTTAGGGTTTAGGGTTTAGGGTTTAGGGTCTAGGGTCTAGGGTTTAGGGTTTAGGGTTTAGGGTTTACGGTCGGGGCTGTTCGTAAATCAGGGTCCCGTCTGGGTGGCATCTGTAGTCGACCCCCTCTGCAAGACTTGAGTTCAATCCTAAAGCCCCCCAAACCCCGAACCCCTAAGCCCTTAAACCCCAAAGTCGATTCAGAAGGACCCTAAACCCTAAACCCTAAACCCTAAACCCTAAACCCTAAACCCTAAACCCTAAACCCTAAACCCTAAACCCTAAACCCTAAACCCTAAACCCTAAACCCTAAACCCCCCAAAAGGGGTGCCTGATTTGGGATCAGCTTGGAGGTTCCTGTCGTTCCGCAACGGACCTTGCGCGCGCCCTTTGTGCCCGGGCGTCCTCGTTGGAATTTTCTAGGGTTTGGGGTTTAGGGTTTAGGGTTTAGGGTTTAGGGTTTAGGGTTTAGGGTTTAGGGTTTAGGGTTTAGGGTTTAGGGTTTAGGGTTTGGGTGGTTTCGGGTTTGGGTGGTTCAGGGTTTGGGGATTAGGGTGGGGGGAGGGAGGAGGGGAGGAGGGCAGTAGGGGTCTAGTTAGGCTGTGGGGATTGGACCTAGATGCACATTGGGAGAGATTGCGAACATAAACTAAAGTGTCAACTGACTTTTCCCCATTACCAGTTGAATATTTCTTCCAGAAAAGACACAGATGTTTGCAGGAGTGCCATGAACATGTGCCACAACGCAATCTGTACGTAGCCCGCAATCTGCAGCAGCATTTCCAAGAGACCTTTCCTGTAGAACTGCCGTAAGAAACACCTAAGTCTAAGGCTTAGTGACCTAAACCCTCAACCCTATGAATCCTACAATGCTGTAACGATCCACGAATCTTCAACCGGAGCATCAGGTGGTGTGCGTCGCCCTGGAGCGTGGTTTCGGGGTGCTCGAAGCGACACTGGGCTCAGGGTTTAGGGTTTAAGGTTTATCTAAAGGCAGTAAACCCTAAACCCTAAACCCTCTGCTGTATGGGCCCCTTGGTGTGTAGGGTATATAGGGGGGTATATAAGGGGTCCCCTTTTCAGGGACCACGTAGCCAATTTCCGAATTTTGGGTTTTGTATGCTTAGGGCTTTCCTGAAAAAGTCTCCGACACTGCACAGCTTCAGAGTGTTTACGAGCTACCAGCCCTCAAACCTTGCAAGACCTGAACCCTCGAGTGGGCCCGAACTCCCTTATTCTAAGACGTAGGTCCCCTTCAAACCCCTAACACCCCTAAAACCTTAAACCCCTAAAACCCTAAACCCCGAAACCCCTGAACCTCCAACCCTAAAGGGCCTAAGGCCTAAACCCTAAACCATTTTAGTCGCCGACTGTGGATGTACTGAAGCTGAAAGTTTGGAGCGTTTCTGGCGTAGGCACCTCGCCAAACTGTTTCGGATGACCCGAATAGTTGAGCACCATCCCGGGTACCACATCAGCTTGATCTTGCCAAACATTTACCGAAACATTTCACACGATTCCGGGGCAGCGGCTTCTCAACACGCGACATTGTCCCCTTACAGTCAGCTGATTCCAGCGACTTTTTTTTGCCTTTCGTAGTTTTGGGTTTAGGGTTCAGGATTTAGGGTGTAGGGTTTAGGGCTTAGGGGGATCTGGCATTTCGTGGCCTTAGGCCTCGCACCCTGCATGCGGGGTTGAGGGCTTTGGGTTCTTCGGGCTCACTGTTGAAAATCACTTTACATCTTTATGATTACTTAAACCCAATAGGGAGCCCAAACCCCAAATCCCAAAACCCAAAACCCTAAACCCCAAACCCTAAACCCTAAACCCTAAAAACCCTACAATGGTGCAGAATTATCAGGGCTTTCAGGGCTCATAGGGTTGAATGGCACTCGCTCAGGATCGAGCGCGACGCCCCGGCGGCGGTGGAGGGAGTTGACTTCTTCCACCTGGTCTGAAGAAAAGAAGCGGATCAGGGTTTAGGGTTTAGGGTTTAGGGTTTAGGGTTTAGGGTGTAGGGTGTAGGGTTTAGGGTTTAAAAAGTTTAGGGTCTAGGGTCTAGGGTCTATAGGGTTGAGGTTTTGGGGTTTTGGGGGGTTTGGGCCTTCTTTGGGGGGGGCTTGGGCCTCGGCCTTGGGGCTTGTAGCACGGCTTCGCGTTCTGCTTTAGGTCTTGCTCTCCAGCGCTGTTCTTAGAAACAAAGGCCTTGGGGGTTTAGGGTTTAGGGTTTAGGGTTTAGGGTTTAGGGTTTAGGGTTTAGGGTTTAGGGTTTAGGGTTTAGGGTTTAGGGTTTGAAGTTCCCTTTCGGTTTGCATGCAACATAACACCAAAGCAACACACCAAGCCTCCGCCACAAAGCCCAAATACTCAGAAGTTTTGACACCCTACTACTACTATGAAGCCCTGAACGCTCTTGACTAGCCTAGACCCTAAGGCCCAAAACGCAAAGACCCAAGTAGTGGGGTCGGAATAAAAACAAAAAGTATTTCTTTAGGGCCCCTTTCTACTTCTACCAGAATAACCCCGAAAACCTATTCTAATAATTTTGGCAACCCTAAACCCTAAACTCTAAACCCTATTCTAATTATTCAGGCCCCTATATTAAACGCGCAAGAGCTGCAAGTGGTCGTGATGGATGGCAAACGGGGTCGTTCTGTGACGTTGGCATTGGCGGGCTGGGGCTACAGCATCCTTAGAAATTTGTTATACCGCTTACGGGAAACACTAAAGACACATCAAATTCTAGGGGAAAGGGTATCTACTCCGGAATGCTCATCCCCTTATTACCCTTATAGGGAAGAATATTTCTTAGTTTTGAGGGGTTCCTAAGCAAACAGTAGGTTAGTTAGGGCACCAGCAGGTCTCTAACCGTGTATGCTGAGGTGGCGATGCCAGCGCCCAACGTCATCTCCCCGTCGCCCTGCCAGGCGTGAGACATGCTTAAACCTTAAACCCTGAACTTTCAGGTGTTTAGTGTTCAGGGTTTAGGGTTCAGGGTTCAGGATTCAGGGTTTACGGAAGGAACTCCAGGGTTTAGGGTTTAGGGTCTTCAGGAGGCCTTCTCGGGAAGTCTGAGGCCGTCCTCAAGGATTCGGTGTCCCATCTTGTGGAGCCCCGGACACTGAGCAGGGTTTAGGGTTTAGGGTTTAGGGTTTCGGGGTTCAACTACTGGTTGCTGAAGAACCACCCAAAAACACATTGTTTCTTCCCTCTGAGGGTAATAAGGGGATTACTATCCAATGTTTTTGGGTGTTCTTAAGCAAAGAGTACTAAGACTCAAGGTGCCGGACTCCAAAACCCCCTGCCGTTTGTAGGGAATGAGGGAGTTCGGGCCCTGTATATACCCTTTTACGGGATTTTATAGGGTACCTCATTCCCTCATTCCCTACTAAGAGCCAGCCAGAAAAGCTGCAATCCTTATAGGGGGACAGGGGCACCTAAAACCCTAAAAACCTAAAACCCTAAAACCCTAAAGCCTAAAGCCCTAAAACCCTAAAACCCTAAAACCCTAAACCCTATAAAGCCCTAAAACCCTAAACCCTGAAACCCTGAAACCCTGAAACCCTGAAACCCGAAAATCCTAAAACCCTAAAACCCTAAAACCCTAAAACCCTCAAACCCTGAAACCCTAAAACCCTAAACCCTAAAACCCTAAGACACTAAAACCCTAAAACCCTAAAACCCTAAACCCTAAAACCCTAAACCCTAAAACCCTAAAACCCTAAAACCCTAAAACCCTAAAACCCTAAAACCCTAAAACCCTAAAACCCTAAACCCTAAACCCTAAACCCTAAACCCTAAACCCTTCGTCCCTCTCCATACCCTCCGGACTTGCTGGTTCTTAAAGAAGGCGGGGAAGCATCTCGACGTGCCTCATAAGAGGGGACATAGGGTGTAGGATCTAGGGCTGAGGTTTTAGGGTTTGGGTTTAGGGTTTAGGGTTTAGGGTTTAGGGTTTAGGGTTTAGGGTTTAGGGTTTAGGGTTTAGGGTTTAGGGTTTAGGGTTTAGGGTTTAGGGTTTAGGGTTTAGGGTTTAGGGTTTAGGATTAGGGCTTAGGGTTTAGGACACCCTAAACCCTAAGCCCTGAACCCTAAACCCTAAACCCTATTTCCAGGAGGCACCAGTAGGTCTAGGTTGAGGGGAAAATCAGCCCACGAAGCAGATGGAACCCTAAGCCCAAGAGCCCGAAACCTTAGAACCCCAAACCCTAAACCCAAACCTGAAACCCCATGCCCTGAACCCTAAACCCTCATGTGGTCCAGAGCAGCAAGTTTGCCTGCTTCCGCGTTTCGGTTCAGACCGAGCCACAGGAACGCCGTCCACGAACAACAACACTGCAAGCCTTAGGGATCTGAGGGTTCTGGCACTGGGAAGTTTGGAGAGGTTTAGTGAGGGTTTGAGGTTTAGGGCTTTAGGTGCGGGTTTTCATGGCGTTAAGGCTTTAGAGTTTTAGGGTTTTAGGGTCTTACAGGGTTTAGGTTTTTAGGTTTCGTGGTTTCTAAGGAAGACATAGTCGCTGAGGCAAAGGAACTCAAAGAACAGCTGAATCCTAAAGCTTCAGGGCATCTCTCTCTCAATACCCGATATGCTCCGCAGCGGCTGCTGACAGTGCCCGGACGGCATTGCCGAAGCCTCCAAACCCTAAGCTCTAAAGCCCACAACTTAAACCTACCCTCAACGCTTCAACCCTTCATCTTTCACCCTAAACCCTTAAGAACTCAAAAGCCTGAACCCCCCAATGCCCTAAACAAACTGAATCGAGCTTCAGTGTTGTGCTTGGCTCCCAGCAGTCGCGACTAGCATTCTCAAGGCCCCCCCAAACAAAAAGCACAAGCAGAACGCCCACGCCTTCTGAGGTGAGGCCGTGTAGAAAGAGAGGGGGTGCTGAAGAAATCATGAAATCTTGTGTTTTTTGCTACCTTGAGACCGATACAGAAAGTACACAGCCGGGCAAGAGGAAGCATAGAGGGATCGAGAGAAGGGTGTGCCGTGGAATCTCGTGTTCGAAAAGCTTAGGGTTTAGGGTTTAGCATCACAGCGTTCACTTCATAGCGCACCAATCTTTCGCCTTTTACTAAAGGTTGCCGTGAGGTTTGGGGTTTAGGGTTTGGGGTTTGGGGTTTAGGGTTTAGGGTTTGGGGTTTGGGGTTTAGGGTTTAGGGTTTGGGGTTTAGGGTTTAGGGTTTGGGGTTTAGGGTTTAGGGAACCATAAACTGCAAGCACTTCTGTGCTTCAGAGATTCCTGGATCCAGACGGGCCGGTGAGGGTTCAGCCGGGCTTCGGGTGGCACAACCTGTCGGCCAATAACCACCACCCTAAACCCTAAACCCTAAACCCTAAACCCTAAACCCTAAACCCTAAACCCTAAACCCTAAACCCTAAACCCTAAACTGAAAGAAGACCCAGACTTCGGCTGATGTCAGAGATGCTACGTAGTGACCCAGAGTAGGCCCTTAGTCCCTTCTTGTTGGGGTAAGCCGGCTCCCTTCCTAAGCCCACCTTCGAACCAAAATGGGGGGACCCTTCTTCATTCCTCCCTAAACCCTAAACCCTAAACCCTAAACCCTAAACCCTAAACCCTAAACCCTAATCCTAGGTTGCCCTTGGGCTTGGTGTGCGTTCCTTTTTGGGGGTGTGCAGGGCTTGCCCAGGTGTAGCCGATGAAGGACGCCGGGCATGCGACGTGTGCCTCGAGGGCGGGTGGAACTTGAAGCCACAAGCACACGAAACCTTTAGGGTTTAGGGTTTAGGGTTTAGGGTTTAGGGTTTAGGGTTTAGGGTTTAGGGTTTAGGGTTTAGGGTTTAGGGTTTAGGGTTTAGGGTTTAGGGTTTAGGCTAAGGGTTTAGGTTTGTTGGGGGTTTCGGGTTAGGGCACCCCTAAGCCCTAAACCTGACAACCCCCCATGCAACAACCCACAATAGTTCCCACAGGAAGTGACATTTGTCTCAAGAATAAGACCCCGAACCCCAGTTAACGCCGCAACAAAGCCCTAAGGCCTCAACCAAAGAACCTTGAGAAGCCTGAACCAGGCTGGGACCATGGGCCGTTCATCATGGCCCCTTACCCTTGTTTATAGGGTTCCGAAGCATGGGCCCCCAGTATATGTAGTTTTTGTAACAAGGAGCCCAAATTCAGGGCCCATACTTGGGACCCCATGACCAAAGAAGCCTAAGCCCCCCAAAAACCAGAGCTCCCCAAACGCCAAACCCCCCTCAACCCTGAACCGAAGAACCCTCATCCCAAAGCCAGAGAGACCCGTCATCCCCACCCTCCCTCCTGCACCCTAAACCCTAAGCCCCTAACCCTAAACCCTAAACCCTAAACCCTAAACCCTAAACCCTAAACCCTAAACCCTAAACCCTAAACCCCAAACCCCAAACCCTAAACCCTAAACCCTAAACCCTAAACCCTAAACCCTAAACCCTAAACCCTAAACCCTAAACCCTAAACCCTAAACCCTAAACCCTAAACCCTAAACCCTAAACCCTAAACCCTAAACCCTAACCCTAAGAACCACCAAGCCCAAGCCCCTCACCCCTAAAGGTGGTTTAGGGTTTACGGTTCAGGGTCTAGCCCTAAACCCTAAACCCTAAACCCTAAACCCCAAACCCCAAACCCCAAAACCCCAATCCCTCCAGGACTGGGCCCCCTGCCTTCTGGGCTCGGAACCGGGCTCAAAGTCGGAGGCCTCTTGGTTTTAGGGGGTTTAGGGTTTAGGGTTTAGGGTTTAGGGTTTTAGGGTTTTAGGGTTTTAGGGTTTTCGAGTTTTAGAGTTTTAGGGTTTAGGATTTAGGGGTGTCTTTGAGGCTCGAGGTGTACCGCCTCAACTCCCCAACCCCGCGAGGAAGTAAAACATCGAAGCCCTCAACAAGACTCGGACCCCTAAGATTGTACCCCTGACGGTTCCCCTGAAAATGCTCACAATCTGGCCCTTACATATCTGTTGGGAACCTACC